CACTGAGCCATCTCTCTAGCCCCTATCAGAGTGTTCTTGACCATAATTTTGAGCCAGCAAAAGAAACAACAATTCTGATAAGTTGAACACATGATACTCTGTAAAGATATTAGCTGAATTGAAATTACAATTTATTACCAAATGCAGTATGTTCCCTTGCATAGTAGAAAGTCATCTAATGGATACACAACTCAGCAACACATGAACGATTCTTTCCTTAACCTTTTCTGTGGTATGCATTAATAAGCAAATGAATGATTAGTGTAACACGTGCTCTCCATGTAATAGTCAGAATCCTGCAAAGAAACAAGGATGCACTCAAATTAGGGGAGTTGAAAAGAGTTTAAAGAAATAACTGTTTATGAAGGTGTGGATAATGGTTATCAAAGACTACATGCTCTATGAAAGACTCAGGGTCCATTAGTCTAAAGTCTGGGTAGCAGAGATTTCCTGGATCTAGAGAACACATCTGATGCTGGAGAAAGGGTTCCATAGAAGCAAATTTTTTGCAGAATAAAGCAGCCTAGCCAACTTGTGACGACTACAGGGACACAGGGACTACAACAGGGACACAGAAGCTCTACCCCTCAAGGTGAAGGCAAGGTTGTCATTGGAATTATCCATAGACTGATGCCTTCTCAAGGTTATCCTCATTTTCCCCCGTTGCTGTGATAAAAACACTCTGACCAAAAGTGAACTAGGGGAGAAAGGGATTTATTTTGTTTATAGGTTAGAGTTCATCTTTGAAGGAATTCAGGGCAGTAACTTGAAGCAGAAACCAAGGAATGCTGCTTGATGACTCACTCAAAGTTTCATGCTTCAATATCTTTCTTATATAATCCAGGACCACTGTACATAGGGAATGATGCTTCCCACAGTGGGCTGGGCCTCCTTCCATCAATTAAATAGTGATCAGGGTAATCCTCACAGACATGTCCACAGGCCAACCAGATTCCTTTCTCAAGTGACTGTAGGCTGTGTCAGGGTGACAGCCATAGTTAAAGCTAACGAAGAAAGGAACCTAGAAGTATGGCAAGTGTGGAGAAGGGATCTGAGGGGACAAATAAAAGATGCTATGCCTATTATCTGTTGCTGTTGCTTATGACAGGTGTCATGTATAAATACTGTTGAAGTGAATAGGATCAGCTTGACTAGCATCAGACTTCTCTCCACCAGAAAGTCTCCTAAAGCTAGTTAAAGCCTCAAGTCTGAAGAAGTTTCCAGTACCAGGTCTATGCTGTGAGTCTCCTGCCCTCACCAGGTTAAATAAAATAATTGGATACTGAATATCAATCACTATAAGACTTTTTTCACACCATGGCCAAGGGCATAGCATGAGGTCAACCTGAAATAAAGAGACACAAAACAAGAATGTGTGCTTTAGCTTTCAAGCAAAGGCTGCCAGGTTGGTGGCCCTAGAGTTGTCCACCAATGTCTCTGCCTTAGGAATGGAAGTTATGGCATCCTTATCTCTAAGGCCACATCTACATAAACTTAATTTCTAAGTCTAACTTTAGACTCTGTCTTCCTCAACTGTCTATCATCCCCCCAGACACCTGTGTGCCAGTGACCTGGCCATCTCATCATTACAAAATGTAGTGTTCCCATTTCTGCAGTAACAACTTCACACATACTGCTCCCTCTTTCTGACTTGCCCTTGCTTGCATGGTCTGAGAAATGCTTACTCTCACTGTCAAACCCAGCTTGAGTACCACATATTCTCAGAAGCCTTGATAATCTCTTCCCCAGAGTAAAGAGCCCTCTGCCTTCTTGGTACTCCTTAATCATTGGGCTCAATGCTGCTGTAGCAATGGATATCAGAATATAATAAAATAACTGAATTCAGAAGGCCCCAGTGGATAGTCCCAATCCAACAGTCACACACATGGCCCTGGTTAAACTATGGGAGTCATAAAACCAACCCAGAAGTCATGAATGTTGGGAAGGTACTGGATGCAAAGAGGGTGGATGATAGGGATAGAGGGAGAAAAGAGAGGGGTGGGGAGGGAGTAATCAGAATGCATCATTTACACATATGAAATTATCAGAGCACTAAATTATTATCAAAATGTGCACAAAAAGCAACAGGTGGCCTGTTAGCATTATGGGTTGATTCTCTTCTATTTTATTACTGCAGGGTGCCATATATACACAGAGACTTATAGCTGTTGCACATCTTAAGACCCACCATTTGTGTCCTAAGTATTTCTCCCCAGCATCATATTTTAGATACAAGTTGGCACTGTAATCCTGAGATCTGTAGAAATGAGGTGATATTTTATTTGCTTTGGAGGACAATTCCCTTTGCAGCATCCTGAATTGCTTCTCTGTTCAAAGAATCTTAACCATTGGGGGGCCCCCTATGGCTGGGTGGTGAACCCGAGGGCCTCTTCTCAGAACAGTGTTTTCAAACATACATAGTCAAATATCATCAAAAATACTAATCAGACAAAGTTTGGGAAAATTTTAACTGAAAAACTAAGGAAGGAGGTTTTTAAAAGAAAGAAAAATGTAGAAAGGGGGATTCTTTCGTGTAATTAAAGATCCTTCATGTCCCACTTTGTAGTGATGGGGAAATTGGAACAGACAAACTGTGGTATATCCAGACAATGAGGCTATTATTCAGCACCGAAAAGGAGGAGGGCCATAGGGACAAGAAAGAAATTGAAATGCATGTCACCAAGAGAAAGCCATGTGCTATGTGATTTGCACCAAATAATATTTGGGAAAAGGTAAAACTGTAAGGTGAATAAAGAACAGTTGGTTCCATGGATTTGGAGCAGAAGGTGAATTAGGTAGAATTCAGAGGAGTTTTAGGATGGTGAATATACTGTTTGCCACCAAACGGGCAGATATCTGTTGTCATATATTTTCCCTAACCCATGGAATGTATATAACCAATGGTGGGCCCTACAGTAAATTGTGATCTTTGGGTGGCTGTGTTGTATCAATGTCCATCTCTCCTACCTCCTGTGGATTACTTTGTAAACTAAGCACAATTCTATACTTTATCTCATTCAGTCTTTAATAAGTGTCTTTAATAAGTGTGTGTGTGTGTGTGTGTGTGTGTGTGTGTGTGTGTGTGTGTGTATGCAGTTAAGTGCAGAGGCCTGAAGAGAGAGTCAGCTCCCTTGGAGCAGGAATTTTTGAGTCTCCTCTGTAACAGTACTCACCAATTGCTCCCAAAGCCATCTCTCTGGCTCCAATAAGAAATAATTACAATGTAACTTTTCCAGGTGTACTTTATGAAGATAAGTTGAAATCTTCTGTGGGACATACAGATAGTAAGAATTGTCTGAGTTTCTGAGATACAAATTTAACTGGTATCCTGTAGTTTTAATTTGTCTTATCTGGCAGATGCAGTAATTCCCTAGTTGTTGGAATCAGTCATGACTTCATGGGCCTCTGACATTAGAGGACAAGTGTGCTGTGACGACCAGAGTGACAGACAGGAAGTGTTAAGGGGAACTGTGCACAGCGCTGGGCGTCTTCCTATTCTCTCGCAGTCTCTCCCCAACCAGGGCTCTAACCAGGAAACATGGGTTTCTCTTCATAGATAAGCACTTATTAGAAAAGTCCATGGATTGGAGGAGAGCTAGGTGTCAGTCCTATGCCAACCACTTCTCAGACTGTGGCTTTCCAGAAAATCAGGACTCTCTCTAGGTCTCACTGACCTTTCTTATGACAAAAGTGAAGATATATTTCTTTATTTGTATGCATACTATATATGAACATAATTTGTATTGATTCTTTGGGAATTTCACATCCAATCCCACTCATCCTTCCACATCTGCCTTCCACCCTTTAGCCTCCCCCACTAAAAGAAAACTTAAAAAATTTAAAAAAGGAAAAGCATGTCTTTGCCACCTCTCCATCAAAAATTATTTTGTCATAGTGGCCTTGGGAGCTATGGTGTCTCATGCAGTGTACACTTTTTCCCAAATAGCTTTACTGACAAACGTCCAGAGGTTCAAGGCCTCTGACTTCTGGTGCGCCATTAATACTGGACCCTCACTCAAACTCCTCTTGGGTATCCTGCTGTTTCCCTGAGTAATGGAAATGCTATGGCCATGTTTCCACAGGACAAGTCCTTTCATGATCTCCCGCAGGTCTTAAATGGGGTGGCAGCGTGGCCCCCAGACACTGACCCTGGGGATCCACATGGCCTTCAGTAGTAACAAGAACCATGGACATAACACAGATTCCCAGCTGCAGCAGGGCTGTGGATCTAGACATGACCCTCGGTGGCAGTGCAAGCCCCAGGTGGCAGCATAGGCCACCCGTATCAGCCTGTTCCTGGCCACTATCCTGTCTTCAGTTCCTTTTCACTCCACAGTGCACAAACCGCTCTGCTTCTCTTTCTCTCCCATTTTCCCACCACAAACCTGTTCATCTTAGTGGGACCCGCTCATCCAGCCAGACCACAGGGTGCCGGTTGGCCCTCTATACCTTCTCTTCTCCCCTTGCTTCCCCACTAATCCCTTTCCTCTTTCCTACTGCTCAAATAGTTTCCCTGCTATTTTCACATCTATATGTTAGTTTGTTTGGTGCCCCAGTGAGTTTAAATACAGTTGCTTACAGAAGCATATGTAATGGGTGAGCAGTTACACCACTGAGGAAGTGTCTCTGGAGGATCTTTTTGTATTGAAGGACTCAGTGAGAACTTGCAGTGGGACAAGAAGGAAGTTTTCTGTACCCTCGTTCCACACCTGGCCCTCTTTTTCCCTGTGTCACTCACTGGCTGGCCTCAAACCATCTGATGTTTATAGCTCACCCAACTGTCCCCACCACCACCACCACCACCACCCTGCCACCAAATCTGCTGCCTCAAAGGTCAGTAAACTCCGTTTATGCCACATTGCAAATATTCTAGGCTCCGTGAGTCATGTGGTTCATATATCATAAACTGTTTTAGACTTCGTGAGTTTCTGCTACGACCACCAGCCTCTTGCACTACAGTGTTGTGAGCACAGCCAAAAATGATAACACAGAAACAGATGGGAGTAGCTATGCTCCAGTGCAACTCATTGTATTCAGGAACCCTCAAATCAGACTTTTACAGAATTTGCTATCTGTTAAGAAATATTACATGTATTTTGACTTTTTTTTCTGATACATGCAAAAACCATTTTCAGTTCACAGGCCATTGAAAAACAATCACCTGGCTAGGTTAGGCTGCGGTCAGCTGACCACTGCTCTAAAGGCGAGGGTTGCCATGTTTTGAGGTGGGTAAGGTCTATTTTCTATGACAAAGGTTATGAAGGAGCTGCCTATTTCTGTCATATCCTGCCCCGTATCACTGCTGATAGCTTACTGTGTGAATTCAGGGATCTTGTCACTACTTCCGGTCTCTTCCTTAATCTGTTGTTTAAAAAAAAAAAAAAAACATGTTGAGAGGGGGCATTATATTTAGCAAGCTGCTAAATAAAGTGTCTGGAAAAACAAATGAGGAAAATAAGGACCTACTTAGCAGTGACAGTCTTAGGACTGAGTCATACTGAAAATCATACGGCAAGAGAAGTAGAGAAATCGAATGGATTTCTTTGTAAATTTTCCACCACGATCTTTTACTTCGTGGAAAGCAGAATAATGTGTGAGGTCATTTTTCCTTCACACAGTTCACTTACATGGAGGGGGAAAAAGAGGAAGTTTCAACAGAGAAGTGTGGTGCCCTGCTAAGCCCCAAGAGAAACATTCCCTCCCTTGGGTCCACTCCTGTCCTTTGCTGTGTCTGTCCCTCTTCTCCCTATCCCATCTCTGGCTACTCAGTGTCCCAGGGACAGGGTAGTCCCCATCTTCATTATCCAGCAGGGTGGCCTAATGATGTATATCGCAAAATCAGGAACCAACCAAAATATCCCGTGCTTAGAAATTTGTTACTGTGTCAAATTCCTCAGGAAGATGAGGAATACCAAGAAACACAGATAAGAGCTCCAAGATCCCAGGTACACAGATAGAGAAAACCCAAGCGCTGAAGGATGGCGCTCACTTTAGTCACCTGGGTTCCTTTGCTGATGGGACATGATAATCAGTTTTAAATGACAGTCCTAGGGAGCTTAGAGAAAGGACCCTCTGCATGACATGAGGGGAAAAGATCAAGCTTTGATACCAAGAGAAGCACATAGCAGAGCAGAATGATAATGAGAGATAATTATAGCCAGTTACACTCTGCCAAGTACTGATGTCTACCAAGCAAGTTACATAGGGTCGACCTTGGTTTTAATCACTCTCAATGTGCCATTTTTATTTCTCACCTGATGAATCTTTCAATCTGGGTATATTTCCAGAACCTTCCAGTTCACCCAAGGTCAAAGAAAGAGGGGGTGGGGCGATAACTCAGTTGGTACAGTGCTTGCTGAGCAAGGATGAGGACCTGAGTTTGATCCTCAGCATCCTAATGTAAAACCAGGTATATCTGTAATCCCAGAGCATGAGAAGGTGCAACGGGTGGATCCCTGGAGCTTGCTGGCCAGCCATCCAGTCTAATCTGTGAGCTTGGATCCATGTGGAAAGACTGTGTGTCAGGACAAGGTTTGACAACAGCCACGTCATATCTAGAAGACAGTGTCATAGCAACTCTTCTCCATCCTCAGGCTCTTGATCTCTCTGCTGCCTCTTCTGCAATGTTCTCTGGGCCCTGGGGAGGGTGATATAGGTGTTCTGTTGAGGGCTGAGCACTCAACAGTCACTTGTTTTTATAGCAGCGGGGCTGACCTCACAAAGCTTGCACACACAGAAAGATATGAAGGTAGGAAGAGGATTTGGGAAGAAAAAAGAAGGTCAGCCAGAATGGAAGGGGACGGGGCAGGAAAATGAAGATAAATATGGTAGCAGTACTTTACTGCATAGAAAACAAGGTGAATGCCTCCTGATGAATGAGAGCGAAGGATGATGCCTGGACTCTACACACATGCATGTGCTCACACATTCACACACCTTGCACATGTATGCACACACACACACACACACACACACACACACACACACACACACAGGTCTATATGCTCATACACCCACATGCCCATGTGTGAGCGTGTGTGCTCAGTCAAGCACATGCGAACACACACACACACACACACACACACACACACACACACACTGGAGGTATAGATCTCCACAGAAGCTCGTTCTCTCTCAGTTGCTTAAGCAAGTGACTTAAGAGAAACCAATTTCAACAGAAAGGGGAGTGTTATCACCCTGCTCCTTTTGAGGTGAATGGGCATGGACACAAGTGTCTCAGATTTTGCATCTCTAGAATGGGGACAGTGCTCCGTGCTGCTCACTGTGAGCCACACACATCACACATGAAAGGGCCCCACGGATTCTAAAAATAGAAGTGCCTTTGTGATTATCATTATTATTAAAGAGGAAATAGCCTGGGTCAACTGTTGAGCTGCTGAATGACTACTTCCGTCTGAACAGATGACTTAAGAGGGTTAATAAGCACATGTTTTGGTCACCACACTGGTGTGAGTCAGGGCCCCAGAGCACGAGGCCTAGATCATGGGCTCCATGGGACCAGTTCATCTGACCTGCATGGCTGGGGCTTCCAAGTTAGAGGAATGTGGGATTAAATAGCATCTCCACCCTACCTTTCCTCCCTAGGCAAGTCCCTTGTCCTGTCTGTCCTTGGTTTCTTGACCCCCATCTGGCTGAGTCATGAGGTTTGAGGTGACACACCCACTCTTAATGCACAGCAGATTCCCCACTAAGGAGAGCACATGCTGCCAAGGAAGAGCCAATAGCCCTAACCTTAGCAGCTCTTCTGAAAATGTATGTGAAGGTTGCTTAGGTGGACAATCTGTTCAACTTCCAGATTCTTGAGTAAAACAGTTCACGATGTGGTCCACTGTGGTGGCGTTTGTATCTGAAGATATGGTTCACAATAAACATGCTTCTTTCTGTTACTTGTAATGGTGTCTCCAAGAAACCAGGAGGGACATCATGATAAGTTTACATAAATGAGCCAGGTCTGCCCTTATGCTTATTAGTCCCCTCTTCAACCTGCCCACTTTGACCCTCCAGCTTTGCCCTTTCACCCAACACAGGGAGTCCTTTCTACACCTATTCCTCATTTTAACCTGCATTCAATCTACTATTCCAGTCTAACGAGGCAGCTGTGAAAATCGTTTCTCTGGCCATAGAGCTGGACAAGAACTTGTGTCAGGTAGGTGCCCTGAAAATGGAAGTGCTAAGATCTGTGTGCAGGAGGCTTATTGGATGTGGGCTCCCGAGTCCCCTATCAGGGAGAAAGGTAAGTATGACTCAGCAACAGGAGATGTTTTACCATGGTTCTGATGCAACATGTTCTGAAGGAGTCGTCCACATTCAGGGTGGTTGCAGACTCCACCAAGAGACTATACACAGTACCTAGAAAGTGTCTTGGCTGAGAGCCACCCACCCAACCCTCCTATGGCTAAGGACTGTTGTGTTTCCCACTGAGGTGTCAGCAGAGTGCGGGCATTCCACCAGATCTGCTACTCCATGGCTCAGCACTCAAGGTTTATCCTTGCCAGTGCCTTACCACAAGGTCTACCTTGTCCCTCATTCAACCCGTGATATGACTGTCACTCATACAAGATATTTCCAGATATCTCTTGCTGTTGACACTGAGTTTGGAAGCACAAAGCTCAAAGCCTACCCTTGTGTCACTTCTCAAAAGCCTAGTGAATGTGAAGAATGAGAAAGAGACACCTTCTAAACATAAGCAGCACTGGGTGTTGCTCTTACAGCTCAAGTTTCCAACACTTCAGCATATTTAAACATACCCAATGCTTCTTAGTCTGGTTCCTCATTTTGTTTATAGGAAAGAATATTTCATGAGTAATGATACAATTCTATTCTTACACAATGTCATTGGGGTTTTCATTTCCTTTATTTGCTCAAGTTTTCCCTTTATAAAGTTTTCTCTTGAAAATACGACAAGAAGCCCTGTAAACTGAAAGAAAAATTCAAGCTGGATGAACACGGCTGAAAGAAGAGCATTTGCAAATTACACCAAAGTATCCCCTGGAAAGAAGCTAGGACTAGAAAGAGAACAGAGTACTCAGCACAGCACCTGCCCCATTCACCTGTGAAGTGAAGAAATGAATATTTATGTTATCTGAGGGTCACGTCACAAAATAAAGTGTTCATTTAGATACGAAACATGAAACTGTGTTTGCTACATAATAGGTTTCACAAATGAAAAAGAATTAAGTGAAGAAATGAATAAGACCACATGCATCTACAAAATGGAAGAAACACATATGTGAAAGGTGTAAGTATCTATACTGATATGTACATTCATAAAGTATGAATTATATCTTATTTTACATGAACTATGTAATTATTTCTATATAAGTGTCTGTAAGTGCCTATATGTATGCACACAGATAAATGAAGGGAATGAAAACATGCATATACTTCCTAGTAGCTGGTGTTCATTTGAAAAAGTATGCCACTCGTACAGGCAGACTCGTTGCTGAATGAAGGACTGAAGTATCCCCAGCTCCGACTCAGGTTTGGTAATCCATACCTAGCACCTCTGATGCTTTGGAATCCACTTGTCACACCCTGATCGGCACCCCCCACAGACCTCTGTATTTTTCTCAGTTGCTTCAGATCTCTTAGTAACAATATGCCATTTGGATCTTAGGACCCCATACTGTGGATGGCTCTGTCCCTCCCCCTCCTTCACTGATTCTATTCAGAGCACTTTCCAACTGTCTGTCCCATTGTGAGGTTGACCAGATGCCTTAAAGAAGCTTGGCCTCCATACCTCTATGATTGCCAGGCTGGTAGCCAGGCCTTGCTGCAAGCAGGTGTCTGTGAACAGATCAGCCCACTGGACTCCAAGATTTGGCTTCCAGAGAGGTTGTGACACTCTGGTTTGTCAGTCACACTGGACAAAAAAAAATTCTTCAGGGCTCTGAGCATACTATCTACCTGAGCTTGGACCTGCCATTATATGTCTCTCAGTGTTCCCAGGACAGTGCTCTCTCCCATATAGACCCGTATAGGAGTTGAGTGTCATGAGTGCTCTCTCTCCCTCCCTCCCTTCCCCCTCTCTCTTTCTCTTTCTCTCTCTCTCTCTCTCTTTGCTGCTCTTAATCTGATCTACTCTTCCCCCATCACCACCTATGACAGGCTTCTTGTCACATTTGGTAATCAGGAATAGCCTCCAACTCTAAGGTGTTTGAAGACTTGCTACACAATGCACATGGTCATGGATCTTTACAATGGACGTCTCCTCTTCATTTTCCCAGGCTGGCCTTTTCACAATAATGGGTAAACTTTTTTTCATGTTCTCTGAGGATCCTCTCCTACCATCAACAATGAAAGAGATCACTGGAAATACAATGATATGCCAGGCTGATATGTCAGGCGGTGGTGGCTCACACCTTTAATCCCAGCACTGGGGAGGCAGAGGAAGACAAATCTCTGTGAGTTCAAGGCCAACCTGGTCTACAGAGCCAGTTCCAGGACAGCCAGTACTGTTTCACAGAAGAAACCCTATCTCCAAAAGCAAAACAAAACAAACAAAACAAAAAAGAAATAAATACAGTGATATAACCCAAAGCATCCCAGAGAAGACACGCTTGAAAACATATATTACCCTACATTTATAGTTCATAGTTCACAGTGTTGACAGTAAGCTTAACAAGAGCAGAAAATGAATTTTGCTTTGCACTTTTCTGCACAAGTGCTTTGGTGATCATCACCAGAGCAGCAAAGTGATAATCAGTAATAAAGTCCCTGGAAGCTACTGTTCCAGGGCAGCACAACAGAGGGTTATGTGATATGAGCAGACTAAACAGGGAGTTGTCAGGGATCTGAAGAGCAATCTGTCCACAGTGATTCAACACATACAGCACCAAGAGCTACAAAGTGAGTAATAACGTGCTTTCACCTCTTCTTTGTGGTAGACGTTACTCAGGAACGGCACATTTGACGAGGAACACAGAAGCCATTCTTCTTAAATGTTCTCCTTACATCTCCTTACATTAATGATGGGCTTCATCATAACATTTCATATGTGTGCATGTATTTTGACCATATTCACCCATTATCCTATCTTGTTTCCCTCTCACTTGAAGTAATGCCCTTTGACTTTCATTCATGTCTGTGTGTGTATATGCCTGTGTATGCATGTGTGTGTGTGTGTGTGTGTGTGTGTGTGTGTGTGTGCCATTAGGGTTGTTTAAAGGACCATGGGTGGGAGTTTGATCACAGGAGTATGGACACTTTACCACCACTGAAGAAAGTGTCCCTTCCCCCTGTATCAATCATTATCTGCACATACACCCTTATAGAGGATGGGAACTGATGGGTCCTGCCTCCTTCCATGAGGAACTGTAGACAGACCCAGTCTTCTGCAGGTAACCACAACTGCTTGGAGCCTGAGAAAGCAGCAGTCATGCCATGCCTGGAAGTCAACTTTCCACACCACTCTTCCCTCTGGCTCTCACATTGTTTCCACCCCTTCTTCTGCAATGTTCCCCGAGACCTTGGAGGAGGGATGTGTGATAGATACCCTATTGATGTCTAGGAAGAAAAGTAGCTCTTGAACCTGGATAGAAAGCTGTGGGGGCCTAGAGATGACAAAGAATTTTTCACAAGCAAGACTAAACAATAAGCAAATATGAAACTATCACTTCTCATCATCCTAGATCTTAATGACAAATGATTAGACTACACAAATCTATGATTTTTATGTTTTGAACAAAATTGTCTATATATGCAGGGTAGTAATTTACATTTTATATATAATAATATCTATTATTTTTCTGCTGGAGGGTCTTACCTCCTGAAGTTTCCACCACCTACCTCTCTATGTTGAGTGGTCTAGAGAAGAGGTCTATGAAACTTTCTGGTATCGAGCAATGGGTAGCAGATACCAGACCAAGATGGTCAGTTCAATGAGTAGGAGAACATTGACATCAACCAACAGGACAGATAGTGACTGACCATTTGTGGGCTTACTGATAAGTACTCACTGAGAGCAGCCCTGACCATTAGCTTCTTGCCATGCCAGCTTCAGTTATCTGTTGTCATGGTTTCATGATAGATGGTTTCAAGGCCACACAGATGAGTCCAGAATCTTTGGAACTGTTTCATTTCTACATATAAGAGAGGAAAGACAGAAGGCAAGGATTCAGATTTGCAGCCATTGTGAACTCCATGTGTTAGAAAGAGGAAACCCCAAAAGGCCACATTCCATTCATCCCAGGGAGATGTCTTTGGCCTCTAGAACATCTGAGGCTTCAGGCCTATGGGATACTGCTTCTGACTTTCTAAACCCAAACCTTTCTGCTGAGTGAGGCCTCGCCTTAACAGAAGACTTCTGTACAAGGACTGCTTGGACTGTATCAGCAAACAATATATAACCCTGTGCTTTGGTCCTCAGAAGCTACAAGGAAAAGGAATGGGGGGAGTGGACCAAGAACTTTCACCAGCCTCTAACCTCAATTTCTCCTTCCAGATGCCTCCTTCAAACCCACCTCTCTCAGCTACTCCCTCCCACTCCACAGCTTAGCATGAACTCTCTGACTGACAACCCCAGACTCTTACCTCTCAGCGTCCAAGCCCTTCCAGAAAGCCTTGGCTTTTGAGAGTGCTGTCACCCTTAAGGACTTTAAGAAATAAATTCAGAAACTGGTTTGGCTCTTCATCAGTGATGCTAGCTTTCCCACAAATCATGAATACTGAAATAAGTAAGGGCATTAAACTATCCACTGCATGCATCCTGGGAGAGGGTCTTCCAGAACCCAAGACAGAGCAGCACACCCCCAAAGTCACTTATTCAGGGTTGGTTTGGTAGACTAGTGTTAGGCAGGGGCACTGGAGGCCAAGCCTGACAGCCTGAGTTTTTAAACCCCACAACTTACACTGTAAAAGGAACCAACTCCTGCAAGTTGTCCTTTTACCTCCAAGCCTGTATCAGAGTATACCACTCCACCTCCATTCAATAGTATCTGGGAGAAGACTGACTGAAAAGGTCTTCTGGTCTCCTAGTAACAGACACATCATCATATTTATCCATTTTATAGGCAGGCAAATGCAGCATGTCACCTTGACTGATCTTCACTTAATCTTTCAGTCAGAGGATCTAACAAGACTGGACCAAAGGAAAAAAGGGTTGGTACTCACATTTGTATAGCATCTGACTAAGTATAATAAACTCTGTCTTTGATCTCACTTGACCATGAAAATAAGCCCTGCAGTAAGTGAGGCAGATGTTATTATCAGCCCTCTTATATAGTTAATAAAACTGATGCTCAGAAAGATTGTGTCTCATGAGAGGTCACATAGCTAACTAATAAGCAATATTCTGGGACAGACAGAAATCCAGTTGTTCTGATTCCAAATCCTTCTCTCTTTCCACCAAAGCACAGTAGCACATCCAATTACAAAACATGCATTGGGCAACCATGGCAATCCCCTTATGAGACCATTCTTTATTATTACTATCATTATTCTTATTATTAAAATTTTTATTTATTTTTATAGTGACTACAGTTTCCCCTCCCTCCTCTCCACCCACTCCCTCCTCCTGCTGCCTCCCATCTATTCCCCTCCCAATCCACTCCTCCTCTGTTCAGAAAGGAGCAGGCTTCCCATGGGCCTCAACAAAGCATGGCACATCAAGTTGAGGCAGGACCAAGCTCCTCCCCCTACATTAGGCTGGGCAAGGCAAACCAGCATGGGGAATAGGTTCCCAAAAGCCAGTTCAAGCTCCAGGGACAGATCCTGATCCCACTGCTAGGAGCCTCACAAGCAGACCAAGCTACACAACTGCCACCCACATGTAGAGGGCCTAGGTCAGTCCCATGCAGCCCCCTAGCTGTCGGCCCAGAGTCTGTGAGTTCCCACGAGCTTAGGTCAGCAGGTGACACCATTCTTATCTTCCAAAAAAATTATCATTTCCTTTTTACATGTCTAGTGAAATCTAGAATGGAGTGCTACTACTTGTGTGTTTACAGCTTCTTGGTCTCCTTGCATGAGTTAATGTAGCTAATTGTGAACAAGGGGATGTGAACAGAAGCCATGCCTGGCACACTTGAATCTATATCATGGTCATAGTCCACCATGCTGTTTCTCTGATTTCATTGACTGCCCAGATCTAAAGGAACCAGGGGGAACATATTATTCAAAGTAATAGAGTTGCCCACGGGCCTATGATATGATATGAATGAAACATAAACTTTGCATGGGAACACTGATACCACACTGGTGGTTTCTCCTATTCATTCAAAGAGAAAAACAAACAAACAAACAAACAAACAAAAACCACTACATACTAGTGCCTCAGAGACAGTTGCATCGAATACCTGACAGTGAAAAAATCTTTTTTTTCTTTTTTTTCTTTTTTTTTTTTTTTCAAGACAGGGTTTCTCTGTGTAGCTTTGGAGCCTATCCTGGGAAAAATCTTTCTTAGTGGCCTAGAGATTCATGAAAAAAATCACAGGCTAGTAAAAGACACTCGTGCACCACATACTTCATTTACCACTAAATGGTACCTGAGTAGGGTAGGGGTCAGTTCTCAAAAAAATGAAACATGTTTGAGAGTTCTCCTTGAAGAACACAAAGTTGCAAATAAAATGAAGTACAGAAGTAAATATTTATTGAGCATCCAAAAAAGAATCACAACAAACTGCAAACTGTAAAAGTTGACAAATGCTATAACAAATTCCAAAATAATAACATAGTTTAGATTTATTGACTTTTAAGTTATGTGTACAGATGTTTTGCCTACATGTATGTAAGTACACCATGGGTGTCAGATGCCTGCAGAGACCAGAAGAGGGCATTGGATCCCTTGGAAGCGTAGTTACGGATGGTTGCAAGCTACCATGTGGGCACTAGGAATAGAACCAGATCCTCTACAACACTGCTTCTCAACCTGTGGTTCATGACCCCTTTGGGGACACATATCAGATATTTGCATTAAGATTCATAACAGCAGCAAAATTACAGTTGTGGAGGTAGCAATGAAAATATTTTTATGGTTGGGGGTCACCACAACATGAGGAACTGTGCTAAAGGGCCGCAGCATTAGGAAGGTTGAGGAGAACCACTGGGCTACAAGACCCATGAGCATTCTCAACCACTCAACTGTCTCTCCAGACCCAATATTATTAACCACCTGACACACCTAGATGATATTTATTCTACTTTTTGCTCTTCCTGTGATAATAACTTTATCCTTGAGAGAACAGGGAGAAGAATACCTTTCTTCTAACAGCGTCTGGAAACCTGAGTCTTTATTAATGGCGTATAGTCTGTATTTTCAGGATTCTTGACAGCTTTGGGGCAAATGACAGTCACGTTCCTGACACTGAGCTGTAGGATTTGGAAGAGTTCTACATGCATCATCTTTTAATGCTGTCTCAACCTTGTTTCTCCTTGGTTCACTCCTAGTGCTCAGACCATCCAACAGTAGGTCTTCTGTGCCAAATCTCTGTGTCACTATTCATGGAAATTTCCCTGGAAGGTATGCCAGTATATAACTAGAGATAACACAGAAATGACCAAAGCCATGAACTCACATCTCATTATCTCTATACTAAATACATCCCCAGCTGTTCTCCAATATGATAGATTAAGGCCAAGCCAGCCAGCCATGGCTTCCCCACACCACCCGACATGAGGAGTGTTACAGTGGGAAACTGAAGAAGTTGTGAACTTAGCTGCTCCCAACTAAGGCATCTAGAAGCTTTCTTTAGGGCCCAATATTTTGCTAAATCTAGACTGACCTCTTAAGCCCATGGGATCATGGCTTTCAGGATCAGACGCTCCATTCTCAAATTGCAAACTTCTTCGGGGAAACCTTGAATTGACTTTGTGATCATTTCTAGTGAGAAATCAACTTTTTAGAATGAGTTTATGAGGAAAGAAATTCTTCTTGAACCCAGTCCAATGATCTCCATCACCACCGATTGCTCTGTCTCTTCCTGCATGTCTCTCTCTTCCCCTTCCCTTCCCACTCCTTCTCCCCTCCCCCCATCCTTTTGCTTTTGTGTGTGTGGCACAGTCTAGGAAGTATCAGTAACATTGACTTCAGGGACTGTGAACAGGAGGCAAGAGTTTGCAGCGGCCTTCCTGGGCTTCGGAGGAAAGACATGTCACCAACAAGCACAGTAAGACTTCAAACAGGAACACTAAATCAAACAGAAAACCTGGAATTTTGAAACAATTTAGGTGTATTGAACTGGAAAGAAAGCTGAGACTATCACTTAGAAAGGTTAGCATGCAGGGAAAGGTGTCTGGGAAGAGTCCATCAGGAAGAAATGTAATTAACTAATATCAGATGGGGACAGTGGTTTTGTCTACTGCCAGCTCCAGTTCCATCACACAGCTCAGCTCACTAGGCACACAGTAAGGGCTAACACTTAGGGCCTGAATGAGAGCAAGGAAGGAAGTGGGCGAAGGGGGATGGTTTGCCTTTGCCTGAAACCACAAGCCAGGCTCTTAACTTCCTCACCTATAAAATAAGCATAAAAATAGCACCTCTCTCAGAAAGAAGTTTTGAAGATGATGCGAGTTAATATAAATAAATCATCCATGGGGAAAACTGGTACTTAATACATTTAGCTATTACAGCTAAGCTTCACTTCACCCATCAGTTGGAGCATTAAAAACAGAGGGTACTGTTGCTGATAAGCATGGAAGAGAAGGGGCCCAGTGGAGAATGACTGATGGGAAATCTGCCCAAGGTCCTGAGATAGCTGCCCTAAACATCCACTTTTGTGGGAGACTCAAACGACCTCAGATTTGACTCATGGGCAGGAGTGAGAGGAAGAGGGTGCCCCGTGACGTGGCAGGAAGACCCGTCTATCTCAGGCCCCAGCTGGGTGAATGCAATCAATAACATCCTGTCAGGAACTTTTTGTGGTCTCATGTAAATTTAGGCTACCTGAATAAAAGATAAAAACTGTCATTTCCTCTCTCATCACGTAGCATGATGATTTATCTATTCCTTTGAAAGAACCAAACCATACCAAAAACAATCGCTTCTATGTCCCTGGTTATGTATGTCCATTGTGAAACAAGGAGAGAATGGTGCAAGATGCCAGGATATTTTTAGGACTGTGGCAGAGAGACACCCTACAGAATATGG